TAGTTAGTTTCTTCCCCTCTGACAACAAAGCAAAAAGAGTGGGATCTCTAGACATTTGTAGCATAGCTCAACAGTCATTTTTATTACAGTACACAGACTACTGAACAAGACACAAAGGTAGAGATGACACAAAATATTTTTCTCTTTAGATTTCCCATACTAATGGGAGAAAAAGATTGCACCAATAGCCCAAAACTGCTCTAATTATTTGAGTTGTCTCAGTGGTATTACTAATTTAACTTCCAAGCAAAAGAGCAAAATACAATTTGCTGGTGTAAATATAATTGATGAAAAAAAATTATTTCAGACCATTCAACTGATGGGACTTTTCTTCCCAATCCTACAGGAGTCTGTGAATACCTATGTCCCATTAGATGGGATGTAATGTAAGGCCAATCTACAAATATGCAATCTGTGATATAGTTAAATGTCCAGAGAAACCTAAATAATGTTATCCAAGTATCACATGGGGGAAAATATTACTCCCTCCCTGACTCAAACAATTACAAATAATAATAGTGTATTTCCCTGGAGAGAAGGTTTTCAAAGACTGTAAATGCTATCATAAATCAGGAAGGGAATTTTTTTCCCCCTAGAACCCCAAAGATAAGAGAACAGAGAGAGACACCATACAACACCAAATAGAATTAAAAAACAACAAACTAACATTGGCAGAGTGATGGTTCACTAAGATGGAGAGCAGGTCAATTACACTGGAAAATAAAAATAACTAGTTTCATTCTATATTGTGGTCAATATGGCAGCCGGTTGGGGAGCAGGAGGGCAAAGGCAGAATTACAGAAGAGGAAAGAAGGAAAGCCACAAAGTTGAAAAACACAGCCAGCATAAAATGGAATAGAGAAAGAGATAACAGGTAGGGAAAGGAGGTTAAATATGGGATGATCAACTACTGCAGTCACTTTTCTTACTTACTAGGGGCTGTGGGCTTCAAAATATAGGGGTGAGCAAAAGTAGGTCTTCAGTTGTTCGTATGGAAAAATATATAACACAAGAATAAACTCTCATGCAAATTCAAAACTATAAACCAACTTTTCCCACTCCTGAATTATTGCTTAAAACTTCAAATATTACAATGCTAAATAACGGATTAATCGTTCTTCCTAAACCTGTAAACTCTTTTTCTGAAAGTGTGACCTGTATAACAATCATCTATGGCACTTATTAAAAATGCAGATTGATAAGCCAAATTCTAGGCCTAATGAATCAGATGTCTTGAGTTGAAGCCAGCTGATTGTTACACCAAAGGTTGAAAATTCCCACTTTAAAATATATAATACCAGGTAGGTGTTTTTACTTTGAATGGGTATAATGTGCAGACACCAGACAGAGATTAAGCTGAGCTGAGGGTAACATGCCTTTTAAAATTTGCCATCCTTAAATTTACCAGGACCTGCCTGAGTAGCCAATGGTTTAATGCAGCAAAATAACATTTTGCCTATTCATATGTGCTTGTCAAAGGTTGAAAAAGACAGAGAAATAGAAGAAAACATCTCTGATACCAAGAGCTTATATTCTTTTACAGATACTCTTCTTAACCTCAGTATATGCTCTTTTCTTCAACACTCATAATTCCTAAAGATCCATATACTTTACTGACATTTTTTTTTATTTTTTGTTAATCCTCACCCAAGAATAGTTTTTCCATTGTTTTTTATTTTATTTTTTAAAATATATTTTTATTGATTTCAGAGAGGCAGGGAGAGAGAGATAGAAACATCAGTGATGAGAGAGAATCATTGATCAACTGCATCTTGCACTCCACCCACTGGGGACCAAGCCCGCAACCCGGGCATGAGCTCTGACCAGGAATCAAACCAAGACCTCCTGATTCATGGGTCAACGCTCAAACACTGAGCCACACGGGCTGGGCTCCATTGCTTTTTAGAGAGAGTGGAAGGGAGGGAAGGAGGAAAGGGTGTAAGAGAGAGACAGAGAAACATCAATGTGAGAGGAACATTGATTGGTTGCCTTTTGCACACACCCAGACCAGGACCAAAGACAGAACCTGTACCCCAAGTATGTGTATGCCTTGCTGGGGAATCGAACCTGAGACCTTCTGGTGGCAGGCCAACACTCTAACCACTGCGCAACACTGGCCAGGGCTTGCCTGGCTATTTTAAGTCTCAACCACCTTTCATCTCTAGGCAGTCTGAATCTGAGTTTAACTTTTTAGTGGTTTGGCTCCATTCTTCACCTATTTTACGAAGCCCTGTTTTCTCAGTAAGTATCTAAGTTTGTTAGGATCAAGCTCATGTTTTCTAGCCTTTTATACCGTTTGTTGCTTAAAACAATGACCACCACCTTGTGGAGACTCTAATATTGAATTGGGTTAGGAGTCTTGGAAATTTAGGAGATTCGACAGTTATATGCAAAGTAATTTTAAAAATCCAAATTCTAAACATAAAGGTAAATCTGAAGTAAATTTTAACAACCCCAATAAAACACATTAAAAAGTTAATAAACAAAGATTTTGTATTCCCCAGAAGATTCTAAAAGTGCCTGGTATGTAAGGTCTCAAAGGAGGAGAAAAGATATGGCAAATGGAATGAGATTACTAATTATGGGAAAGTTAAATTCCAGTATTGTTAGAGTTTAGAAACCTCTAGATTTTGTAAACTCATATGAAAAGTTTTATGTATAAACACTCCTTCTATACACACACTTTAATAAAACAAGGCATCATATTAAACAGTATTTGCCCTCCTAAAATTAAAGCAGAAATAAACCTGTCTTTGTAACTAGAAGTTCAAAGTAAATTCCCAACTTCTTATATTTTCACCTCCCGTAGGCCAATCTTAAGTAAGCAATGTCACAAAACAATGCTCCATGAAAAAATTCTAATAGTGGAAAAAAAAGTTTGCAGAAATTAAACAAATGTATCATCTCTCTGAAAAAGAAAACTAGCTTGAACACATTTTCAAAATCATTGGTTAATTTATTTGGTTGCTTATCACCAAGCAATTTAATTAAGGCTTTATTTAGTCTTAAGGAACTACAGACCATTTCAAACAAAGCATCACTTGTCGGAGTGGACTAGCATGAGCAGCTCTGGGTTAGCACAGCACAACCTTGAGCAATTCACAGGACCTCTTTGGGCCTGTTTCTTCAGTTATAAAAGTGACGCAGTTGGACGATCTTCGGCCTTTTTTAGTGCTAAAGTTGTGTAAATCGGTAATTCTAAGTTTAATTCTGATGACTCAGTTTAAACTTATATTCAACCTTATGAAAGGAAATAGTGGGTAGGGGACTATCTAATAAGTTTTAATGGCCTGTCCTTGCGTCCATACTTTCTTTTTCCTCCCTTCTCCTTGAAGCCGCATCTCAGCCTTCTTTACATAATAGTTTCTTAATTTTAAGAAACTAAATTCTTCTACTTCTCTTTAATACATAAAATCTTAAATATTTGCTTATTTGTGTGCCCCTTGATTTTTCTCTTATGGGTCACTGGCTTTTAAAAATGAAAAAAAAATTTCTTAAGGCAAAAAAGTTTCATTAGATTTTTCACACAAATCAGACAAGAAGTAAATATAGCCTTGGCTAATATGCAAACAAAGATGACAGCAAATGGCTAAGAATAAAATGTCTGTAGTGCCTTATTGATCTGTTAATATCAACAATCCTTTTAAAAGATTAAGAAGTAATAATTGACTGCCATTCTATCTTCCCTTTCATCTGACAGGCCTTCAAGCACTTAGAAAGTTCATAACAGCAAACTTCCAAAGAGCTAGCTAAACATAATCATAGTCGAACATAATAAAGTTGGCAAGTTTTATTTCCAAGAACTTTATTCATAATCATTGCATATTCTAACTTTACTTTCAAATTTTAGTTTCACAAATAACTTTAGTAACTAAAATACTACTATATCCAGCTTCTCAGAGTACCTAGAACTTCAAGACATACCAGAATGTACACTTGCCAAAATCTCATAAATTTCAATAATGATAAATACTTCAGGAAAGGACTTGACAATCTTTTCTTTTATGAAGGATATTAATTTTGTGTATTTTCATATTTATATTTTTCCCATTGAGAAGTATTTATATTTTATCTCTTTTATCACCATTTGTCCCCCATACCGTCCACCTCCACCCACTCCCTTCCTCTCCTCCCCAAACACTGTTGTCCCTGTCCATGAGTTCTTTCTCTCTCTCTTTTTTTTTCTTTCTTATTAAAATACAAACCAAGCAAATGTTAAGAACAGAAGGAAGACCAATACTTTTTAAACAAATTAAAATACTATGTTTTCATAGAAGCTAGTTAGGCTTTTAAGGTTGTTACTCCGAACAAGTTTCTAGTATGAATCTTAAAACTTTATTATTTTTTTTCTAATAGTAAATGAATCATTCTAGTCTTTGTTCCTTTTTATTTGAGTCACTTTACTTGTTAACTAAATGGCCATTCATATTACTTAAACTTCTATTTTGTTTTCAAAAGTAAATGTTTTAGTATCATTTCATTAACTTAAGAAGAAGAAAAGGATAGAACAGTCAAGGAGCAACATCTACAACAGTTGTCCCAAAAGTTCCCCTTAACTAAATGCCAAAACAAAACCATTGTTCTTAATGTTTTTTTTTCTTAACACCCATATCACACATAAGTACAGTTTCTTGAATTGTAACTTCTTGCTACCCTCAAAATACAATTAAAAATTTTAAAAGTTAAAATCTGACCTAGTATGCTTTGTGAGCTAAAAAAAAAAAAGAAAAATCTCCTTTATTCTCAAGTCATACGGGGGGGGGGGGGGGGGGGGCAATCACACAAAATATAAAGAAAGCTTTACCAAAAACGCTCTATAACTTTCCAGAATTTGAATGCTTGTTTCCCCCTAGTAGTTAAGTGTAACCAGGCATGTGACTGACTACATTTTTTCAGAGTTAAAGAACACACTCAGTCATGTTCTTCGACAGGTAAGAACCACCCTCTGTTTACCAGCTCAGGAAACAGCCAGAAGCAAACACCCAAAAACATAACGTTACCTTCAAATATTCTCATTATCTTTAGATACTGTCCTTTGGGCTTGAAAATAAAAAGCAATCCGGCAAGTTTTATGCTGTTAAAATGGCTCCTGTAGATTGGGGAAGTGGTGTCTGTGCTTCAGCTTATGAGTCATACATGAAACTAAGTGTTTCTAAGAGAGGCACGCCCATGTTGCTGTGGACCCAATTATTCTGCTAGGTCAAACATGCAAATCTACAGGTAAAAACGGGGGAGAGGTATAAAAAAAGGAGCAAGATAGAGCAAAGGAGCAAGATCTACCTTGATTAAACCATTACTCAGCTAATGCTAATCACCATAATTTAAAATTTACAATAAAATACAACCAGAATCTACAAGGAGGCAAAGTTAAAAAACTTCATGTTATTTTAAAAAAGAAAATCTCAATTTAAAAAGTAATTTTAATATATCAAGTAAAAAAATGATGAATGAAAAAAAAAGGCATGGGAAGAAATGAAAGGAAGATAGCAAACTTTCTGGCTTTTAATGTAACAATGAACTGGTGAGTCTAACCTGGCTACTCATTAACCCTTATATAAAAGGGGTGTATTACTATGTAATCTGAAAAAGCTAGCAAACTGCAATATCAGCTGTAGCTTTATAAGTTCACTAAACAGATAATATCCACTAGAAAATTCAAAGTTCAGTGGAAAAATAAGTGGAATTTAATCTGGTTTATGCAAAAATAAATAAATAAATAACAAGTGCAGGGTTAGAAAGGAATTGAAGTTCAACATAACAAAATGATTTCAAACTGCAAACTTGATAAAACCCTATTTTAAATAAATTATCAATGCAATCATAGTTCAAAACTCTACTGCTTCCAAGAGATAGCCAAAGTTTTCTTTACCTTTCAAACAAAATTCTCCACAAACAAAAGTGTACCATGTGCCAAGCACCCTGCTGTACCATACATGTCTAGCTTGAGGGTACCAGCAAAAAATGTGGCTAGTGAAGTTTTGCTCTCCAAGCCACCATACAGCTGACAAGGTGCACAAGCTGAAACATTACTATAATTACTTACCCTGTGCCCTGAGTGAACATTTATTAATTTATTCTAAGAACTTAAATTGATCAAAATGGCTTGAAAGCTAATGCTTTCGAAAAGTGCTTTAAATGACAAAGTCCAAGTCACTAGCTAGCCTTCATCCTAATGTTTCACAAAAAGTAAATGGGATTTGGCAAGGTGCTCTCCCCTTTAGTTAATTAGTTGGAAGTGATTATTCTGCTTTACTAGAGGCACAGCTGAGAGTTGTCACTGACTTAGACAGGAACTTTACAAACTGCTACGAAACATGACAATGAACATCTTGCTGACTATTAAGTGCCTATTTATTCCATTCTGAACACTGCTTGATTTGCTTATCTTTTATTAAAATAATCCCCATAGTTAAATAACTTAATAATAAAATTATGCTAGGAAGAAAAAAAATCATTTTTTCTACTGTCAAATGTCATATTTAGTTTAATTTTAGCTCATTTATCCAGAATGACTATTCAGTATCCAAACACCAAGAAAAAGGTCCTCTGAGTAGTCACAGGAAATGTTCACTATAAAACCCAAGTCATTTCCCAGAGCTGAAACTTAATTTACACAATATCCATATAAGCCTAGTAATTTGATTATCTTTTAGCTAATTAGAAATGATAAGGAGTGAAGAGGGAATAGAGAATAGATGATGTCAAAACAAGTGGCAAAGATGATAATGAGAGAATAAAATTTTAAAAACCTATAAAACTATAAATAAATATAATGTAAAAAGTACTGGGATCTGAAGCTAGCCTGTAAGGCAGTGATGGCGAACCTATGACACGCATGTCAGAGGTGACACACGAACTCATTTTTTTGGTTGATTTTTCTTTGTTAAATGGCATTTAAATATATAAAATAAATATCAAAAATATAAGTCTTTGTTTTACTATGGTTGCAAATATCAAAAAATTTCTATATGTGACACGGCACCAGAGTTAAGTTAGGGTTTTTCAAAATGTTGACACACCGAGCTCAAAAGGTTCGCCATCACTGCTGTAAGGTCAATATATTCTACATTCTCCTTAAGTATATCACCATACAGTGAAGTGCCTCAAAGTCAGCATAAATTATGATAAAGGTTTTTAAAAGACAAAGTGAATAACATCAAGTGTGTGAAATTTTTTATGAAATATAGATACATAAAAGGATAAGCTTCTGCTACTGAGAAAATCCATTTATATAAAACACATTACTTGACAATGGCAGATATTTGGACAGTAATTTAAAAGAAGTATTTTTGGCCACACATATACTAGTATATAAGTGAAGTGAAAGATAGAAAGTTAAAATAATTACTCCTCTTCAATAGAAATAAGTATTTTAGCTGTTCCTAAGGAGATTATTCCAGAGTTGCTATTAAAATATATTGCCCCTTTAACCAGGAACATCCCTATTAGCATTATTTTATCACCCACAGGAACTAGATCCTGGTTCTATTCAGAACCCCAACAAATCAATCCCCACAGGGGAAAAAAACAACACAAAAACAAATAAACAAAAAATGGCAAAGCAGCACAGGTTCTAGAGCCAGTCTACTTGGGTTCAAATCCCAGTTCTGCCACCTATTAGTTGTGTAATAATCCTGGGGATTACTTAACAAGGATGTGCCTTCACTTATTTAGTACCCACCTCAAAGAATTATTGGGAGAATTAAAATCAGTCCATGTACTACTATCCTATATAATAAAAGCATAATATGTGAAATGACCAGTCACTATAACACACACTGACCACCAGGGGGAAGACACTCAATGCAGGAGCTGCCCCCTGGTGGTCAGTGCACTCCCACAGGGGGAGCACAGCTCATCCAGAAGCCAGGCTCACGGCTTGCAAGCGCAGTGGCCACCTCCACTGCAGGCAGGCAGTAAGGGGAAAGGGGTCCTGGACTGTGAGAGCCCCAGATAGCAAGGGGATCGGGCCTAAGCTGGCAGGCGGACATCCCCTGAGGGGTTCTGGATGGCAAAAGGGTGCAGGCCGGGCTGAGGGACGCCCCCACCCCCTGCCACAGTGCATGAATCTCGTACACCGGGCCTCTGGTTTGGAATATAAATAACTCACAAATAAGAAAACAAACCAGTTTTTAAAACGGTCAGACCATCTGAACAAATACTTCATCAAAAGAGAGATACAGATAGCAAATACTGAGCAAGAAAAGATCTTAACATTACTCAATAAGGAAATGCAATTTAAAGTCAGAAGAGTACTATACAACATTGAAATAACTTTCCCCAAAAAAAGTGCTTAGTGAGGATATGGAGCAAAAACAATCCTCATACATTATTTGTGGAAATGCAAAGTGGTATAGCGTATTTAGAAAATTCTTTATCAGTTTCTTATAAAGTTAAACATATACATATTATACAATCCAGCAGTCCCATTCTGAAATATTTACTCTAGAGAAATGAAGACATATGTCTATTCAAAAAAAAAATTCTACGCAAATATTTATAACAGTTTAATTAATAACCACCAAATACCGAAAACCCAAATGTCCATCAACTTGTGAAGGGCTAAGCACATTGTTGTATAACCATACAACAGAATAGTATCCTATCTAATAAAAGAGAAACATGGTAATTGGCGTACAACCGCTACCCTTCCCATTGGCTAATCAGGGAGATATGCAAATTAACTGCCAGCCAAAATGGCGGCCGGCAGCCAGGCAGCTTGAAACTAACATGAACTAAAAAGCCAGGCAGCTTGAAACTAGCTTGCTTGCTTCAGTGACGGAGGACTCCAACGTTCCCTGCCTGCCGCTGCAGGCCTCTGAGCTGCAAGCAACTATGTAACAAACATAGAAGCTAAACAAAACCCCAGAAACCTGCCAGGCTTCAGCCAGCAGGATCGCAACATTGTAAGCAAAGGCCAGAAACCTACTTTCAGCAGCGGAGGCCTAAGAGCTGGAGCCAAGCCTCAAAGCTAAAGCTGGCCCAGAATAAAATAAAAAAAAGAAAAAGAAAAAAAGGAGTGGTTGGAAGCTTCAGTCACCCCCAGCCTGAAAACAGCCCTCAGCTCCTCACCCAGACTGGCCAGGCACCCCAGTGGGGACCCCCACCCTGATCCAGGACACCCTTCAGGGCAAACCAGCCGGCCCCCACCCGTGCACCAGGCCTCTACCCTATATAGTAAAAGGGTAATATGCCTCCCAGCACTGGGATCAGCGGAGCCGCGAGGCCTCCCGGCACCGGGATCAGCGTGACAGGGGGCAGAGCCCAAACCCCCTGATCGCCCTGCAGCTCTGTGTGTGACAGGGTGTGGCGCCCCAACCCCCTGATTGGCCCTGCTCTGCGCGTGACAGGGTACAGAGCCCCAACCCCCCTGATGGGCCCTGCTCTGTGAGTGACAGGGGGAAATGCCCCAACCCCCTGATTGGCCCTGCTCTGTGCATGACAGGGGGTGGCGCCGCAACCTCCCCATTGACCCTGCCTTGAGTGTGACAGGGGATGGTGTCCCAACCCCCCAATTGGCCCTACCCTGAGCATGACTGAGTGTGGAATCACAACCTCCCGATCGCCCTGCTCTGTGTATGACAGGGGCGGCGCCCCAACTCCCCAATCAGCCCTGCTCTGAGCTCGACCAGGGGCTGCACCTAGGGATTGGGCCTGCCCTCTGCCACCCGGGAGCAGGCCTAAGCCAGCAGGTTGTTATCTCCCAAGGGGTCCCAGACTGCAAGAGGGCACAGGCCGCGCTGAGGGACCCCCCCTCCCCCCCCGAGTGCACAAATTTTTGTGCCCCGGGCCTCTAGTCAACAATAAAAAGGTATGAACTTACTGAACTGCTGAAAAACACTACAGCATACATGAATCTAAGTGCATCAGGTTGAGTGAAATAAACCTGACTCAAAATATATACCGTATGATTCCATTTATATAACATTCTGAAAAGGCCAAACTAAAAAGACAGAAGTCACATTATTAGTTGACACAGGTTGGGAGTGAGGGGAGGTAATTGCCTACTGAGGAGAACAAAGGAACAAACTGTTAGAGGCAATAGAAATATTTTTTATGGTGATGTGATATTGTTATGTGAAGCTTGAGAAAGTAGATACCTACACTAAGGGCTCTTAATGGCTAACTGGACTCAAATTTATTAAAAAACAGAGCCTAACAGCCATTTCTACACAGGGGCCTATCACACAAACTGCGCTTCAGGGAAAAGCCTGCACGGAACTAC